CAAACAAAAACAAAATTAGACCGGCAAATGATGACAAAATGAAGTACGAAAATATTTCAAAACAACAAAAACAAAAACAAAAACAAATTGTTGTGCTTTCAATGCCATTTAATGACATCATCAACAGCTTTTAGCTTTTACTCATCTATTCATATATAGATGACATACATATAAGACCAGCAGCAACAACATCATCGCAAGCATAGAAGATACTTGCTATTCTCATGACTTCGTGCTTCGTGCCGCTGATCTAAAAAGCTAACAAGACAAATAGCAACAATAATCACTCGACAACGACACATACCTGAATCGTTGCTTAATGTCGCTGCTATAATAAAACTCAAACAATTTTGATTAGCCAGAAAGTTTTGTGTTCAGTACTTTTTTGAATCTCAGTGGATTAACAACGCGAGCTTTAAAAGTTTTTAGAAGTGATTATTTGAGAAAACATTCAAGTAAAATTTAAAATGCCAGTTGGTAAGTTTCAAATTAAAATAGAAGTTTTTATTTTTATGTTTTGTGTGAAAAGAATTTAAAAGTATTAGAAGAAATAGTGTAAAGCCGGTGAAAGTATGGCACTTGTACATTTTTATAATTAATTTTTTTTGATTGAGTGAGTTGTGTTTTTTTTGGCTTAAGTCCAAGTTTTTCATTTTCTTTATTTCTATGTTTGTGATTTTTTAATGTTAATTTTTTAAATAATTTTAACAATAAGCTAAAGTATTTGTTATAATTAGGGTGTGGTTGACATAAAAGTTTGTTTTTTTAAAAAACAATTATTGTACTAAATATTTTATATAATTTTTATTCTCCATTTGATATACATATGTACATACGTACATATATTCTAATTGATTTTGACCCTGCCGAATGTAATCACCTCACCTCTTTAAAATAGTTTTTATGACAAATACTTAAAAAATAATTGAAATTATGTCATAGTTTATTTTTTAATAATGGAATGTTCTAAATACGTTGTTAATAATAAAAAAGCAAGATTTTTACTATTAGCTTTGTTGTTGTTCCAGTTTGCGATCACTCCCCTTGCTTCTACATAGCGAAACTATGTTTTTACGTTATTTTTTAACGTTTCTCTTATTGTTATTTTTTGCCGTCAAAATGTAATGAATTTTAAATGCTTGGGATAATTGTTATTTTATTTTTTCGTTTTCTTTGTTTTTGCTATTCTGTTTATGGGAATTATTTAGTTATTTTAAACAAATAAATAAGAAGGTAAAATTATAAAATTAAATAATAGCTTTTTTAATGTGTTGAGTGGAGGGGTGTGTTCACTTTGTAATTGATTTTTTGCATAGAAAAAGTGAATTAAGGAGTAACAAAATTTGCCCGTTATTTATTTAAAAACAGAAAAAAAATTAATAAATCAATAAAGAGGCTTTAAAATCAATTATTTTTTTATTTTTTTAAAAGAAATATATAAAATATATAAAAAAGGTAAATTGAGTAGAAATCAAGTTTATCAGTAATTCTTTCCATCTTTGATGTCAACTTTTAAGTAAAAATCTAAATTACCATATTTTAGATAAAATGTATAAAAAAAATTATAAAATTTAATTATTTAATAAATAAAATACAAATTTAAATTGTATATAAATATAGACAATTAATTTTTTGCAAAAACTTTCATATATGCATATAGTGTATAGCTATTTGCATATATTAGTATAATATTATATGAAATATTTTAGATATTTTTGCAAATGATAATATATACAAAATACATTTAATACAAAATATTTATGGCTTTGAACTTCGAATTCGAAATTTAAAAATATATTAACAGGTTTTCTGAATATTAATTAAAGCACGTATTTTAAACGAAAATATTTTTACTAACTATTTTTGTTCTAGCTACTTTTACGCTATATCTTTGTGCTAATAAAATAATTTTTTGCAAAATTGACAGATTCTTTCATATACTCATAATAAAAGTTTTTATACATTTATTTAATTGAAAATTATATACATTTGCTTTAGTATTGTTTAGTTTAAAAACATTTAAATACGTTTACGTATTTAATTTTATGGTATTGATCTATTTTTCTACCAACAATTTTTTCATTGGCGTTTCAACAAACGTACAGCCTCAACCATCTTTAAAACACATCCAATGACTATTTCTTATCTCTTATTCTTATTTGATATATTTGTTTAATAAGTATCTATTTTTCTGTATTAGCGGTACAACTAAAGTATAACCTTAGCCTTATTTAACAAATCCGCTATAACCGTTTCTCAATCATTGACGGCTAATCTTCCAAAAAACTCATCTATACTTCAACATCCATATTATCAAAATAGAACTTATGTCACTGATTAAAATGTTTATTTTGCTTTTCTGAGGTTTAAATCAGGCTTCGACTGTCCTGCTTGGACTTTTATTGGTACCAGCAATACCTTATTAAAATTTTGGTCTGGCTATCTTTAATGATGGATTTCATTCCGCTTTTAGATCCCATCTTTGCAAGGACAGTTATATATTAAATAGATAAATCTTTTGTAAATGTGCTTTTTTAATTTTGCTTGTAACAAGGATTCGTATTTGATGTCAGATAGGTATATAGTTGTTAGATTCTTGCATTCTATTAATCATAACCTGACAGAAGTAATTTGTTTAAATTTAGTTTATTCGGTATCAATTTTTTTATGATACTTTGTCGGACTCAGTCTTACACCTCAAGACTTTAAGTAGACCTTCTACACTATTCCCTTCTGTCATAACCATCTTTGTTAGTTCTATAAGGTTACATATGCTACCATTATCTACTATTTAGTTCAAGACAGATACATTGTGATAAAATATAAGCACAACTTGTGGAATATTTATACGAATTCCAAGTTATATTCTACCATTATCGACTATTAAGATCAATACAGATACATTGTGATACTATATAATCACAAATTGTAGCAAATTTATTTGAACTTCAAGATATATTTATAGTTCACGTATACATATCTTATTTGCTAATTTTTTTTTAATTAGAATAAAGATCTTATAATAATGTTAAAAGTTTCAGTTTTAATGCCAAATTCATGTATAACATTCTTTCTTCTTGTTAATTTTTAAATTAAACATTGTACCAGTGCCATTATTATTATTAAGTTTGATTGTACCATGGCCATTATTATAAATCAGCTGTTTTGGATTGTAAAATGGTAAACAAAAGTTTAAACATGATAGTGGTTGATATTCATTTAAGCATTTTTATACAGTTTGATAAACAATAATAAATATTAACCCACGTTTGTATACAGTTTGATGAACAATAATAAATATTAAAATATGTATAAAGTAATTTAGGTTAATTCTCTTAAATTAATTAATGGCAGAACTACGAGTTTAAGTGCTCGGTAGTTTTACAATAAAATATTTAAATATATCATCCGACTCGTCTATGTTTGTGTTGGAAGTGCGATATATAAATTTTAAGGTCAAATAAGGATAATGGCATTCTTATCACTTCTTCTCTTCTGACATTGTGACAACTTATTCAAAAGTATCTGGTTCCTGTCTAAATCTTTATATGCGTTGCTTACTAATATAAGAATGTAATTTGTTGGAATTTTAATTGCTTTTGTTATTTAGAATAACTATTAAGACATCTGTTCTAATACTTTAACTGCAACAAATAAACTAACAGGGAGACATTTGAATACGTGTTTAGATAAACGTGCACGGAGAGTTAGGAATGGTTTGCATTAGTATGCAATTAAGTCTGACAATTAAGTAATTCTATACTTGTTTTTTAGCGGTGATATCGTTTGCGTTAGCCTCAGATTCAATTTGTTTAAATTGCATATAATGTTAAGCGGTTTCAAGTTAATTTATTCGAAGAACTGCATGGATGATGTCATCCAATCAAGTAAAATTATTGCTGTTTGCTTCGTTGACTCTAACAAACAAATGTGTGAACTGGAAGAAACTTAAAAAGTATAAAAAACAAAAAATTAAATAAAATAGAAATAAAAATAAATAGAAATTTAAATACAAAAAAAAAAAAATCCAAACATGAAAAGACATAGTCTATAAAAAACATACTCATTTTTTATTCTTTATCTGACGTAAAGTCTTTTCTTTATGTTCAAATATTTTAGTGGAATGAAATGAGAAAACAACCAAAAAGAATTTATTTTTGTTAATATTTCTATTTTTTTTAATAATTTATTCAGAAACTTGTTTTGGACGGGTTCATTCCTCATTCCTAAATAGACGCCCAAATTAGCGCTTGAAAATTTTGTTGTTCTGACTTCGAAGTTTTTGTTGTACTTTTTGTTCAAGTTAAAAAAAATTTTATTTGTTAACAGCAAAAACATGACAAAGAAAATCAAAGGAAAAATATCTATTTTTTATGAAAGTTTTATAAATAATAGACAAAACTATTTCTATTGTTACAATGATGAATGTTTAGAAACATGAAAAGATTGTCATAGTTTTGAAAATACTTTATAGATCAAATTTATTTAGCCCAAACGTCAATTGCTATATTATTCTTTTAAACCCTTGAAATAAGACACTTAAATAAGAACAATATTTGCTTTTATTATTACCTGAAAAAGATTTTAAATATCTAATATATCCTTAATATATATCTTTAATAGAACAATACCATATTTGCGATCGTTTTTGTATAGAATTAAGCGTATATATACATTTAGTAGAAAAAGTCTGCGTTCATCCACAAAATATTGCTTTCTGTTTATTTCTGATTTCTATTTTCTCATTTATTTTAACCAAACAAAAAAACAACAACAATGAAGTCCAAACATAAAAAATTAACACTTATTCTTTAAAAAAAAATTACAAAAAAACAAATTTTTGTAGCAGAAAAGGTCTGCGGTCATTTCTTTATATTTAGATTTACCGTTAATTTAAATTCGCTTGCAAGCAAAATTGTGTAATTAAATAATATTTAAATATCAGTTGACTTCCAAAAGAGTTTAAGAATTGATCATTTAAAAATATTTTTGGTTATAAACAGTCAATTTTAACAATGGAAAATAAAAGACGTGAAATTAGTGTTAGTGAGCGAAAAATAATTGTTAAATTATGGAAGGATGGCGTAAGCCAACGAAAAATTGCTAAAGATATTGGTCGTCCACATTCATCTGTGCAGACAGTTATAAGTAACTTCAAGGAAACAGGTACTTACGTTTCTAAACCTCGCATGGGTCGCCCTTCAATTCTATCAAATAGAGAAAGACGCAGCATCATCAGAGAGGTAAAAGTAAATCCAACAGTAACAGCCTCAAAACTAGCTAAAGGTATTGCTGAAAATTTTAAGAAAAAAATATGTCCTGATACTGTGCGAAAAATTTTGAAGAAAAGCAAGTGTTATCGCCGGGTTGCAAGAAAGAAGCCAGACATATCCAGAAAAAATAGAAAGAAACGATTAAGTTTTGCAAAAGAGCATTTAAATGACCCTATAGAGAAACGTGTTATTTTCTCCAATGGGATTAAATTCGTCATAGTTGGAATCAAAGGTAAAAAACTTATGTGGAGAAAATCATGTACAGCCTATGATAAACAAAACTTAATATAGCTAAAAGAATAGATATAAACGCAGTTAGAGAAAGAAATAGTCAATGTTTAACTTTTGTGGCATAGTAGAATTTCCAAGCAATGCGAATTTTTAATTAGTTTCTTATACTTATACTTTTAAAACTCATTTTTTAATAATTCAA